CGCATGGATCGAATTATTGGACGAGCTCCAACCATTGTGGCGTGATGTGTGGTCTGCCTGGGCCCAATCACCACTTGCTCGTCGTGTCCCTCTTCCACCAGATCTCCCAACAACGCTCGCCCTGCCGTTCTGGGACACTACCTTCCTCATGTTCCTTGCAGCCGATGGATAAAACGCGGCTCGATTGGCGTCAAAAAATCAAGTCACACGGCAATGGTGTCTGCACGGTGCTCGTTCTGGTATTCACTGCGTCAACGATGCGCTACGGGTTGGCGTTGGTGGTTAGTGGCCAACCTTTGATCGATTTTGCGCACACATGTCGTCCGGCAACCCTCTGGCCCCCGTCGTGCTTCGCGCTGGCCAGATTCGATTCGCCCAGACTCCGGGGACTCGTCGCATTTTTTACCACTTCACACGCGTTTTTCACTCAATTCGCTGCCACTTTGCTCTTCGACCAGACCTTCCGTGACTGGAGCAGCCCGACCAACGTCATGCCTTTCGTGCAACGATCAAGGACAGTTGTGTGCTTACTGTACACGCTAACGTCTTCCATGAAGACATCCTACGAGTCCGCGAGTTCTCTGGACCCTGCAGCCTCGGGGTTGATCCTGAAGGAGCTCGCACGGTCCGGGGATGCCGACTACATTCAAGTTGCTATGAAGGCTGACCCTGTCGCGTTCGGAACCCAGCTCCGAATGCTCGCTAAACATGAACCAAGACAAATCGGAATGCCACGACTTCGGTAGTATTTGGTTTTGTCCGCGACATGGCGGCTAGGTCGTTCCTTCCTTTCATCGGGCGAAGCGCACTGTCTCTCACAAATATTTTCATTTCATTTTCCCGTATAATCTGTGCGCTTCAATTTGAGTTGTCATAGCATGAAAGGTCCGACCGCAAGAAGGTCACACATAGATAAAGTGCTATAGATTAGAAACCAAATTGTATGGATATTGAGTACTCTAACCAATCAGGATTAAGATCAAGATACACTTTCGAGAGGCTGTAAGGAGTGATCCTGGGTCGATGCCACTGTCCACGGGATGAACGACCGTGAATACACAAAACAAAGGTACTTGCTAGTGATAACGCACTTCGTAACCCAAATGACTATGGCTGACAACACACAAGGGCCTAAATTATTAATACTTGGTGCACGGGAGATAGATGCCAGTAGTCACCGAAACAAAATGTTCTTACGAATTGAAAATAAGCAAATGTGTGATAACATTTGTACTGTCACTGAGTATCAATGAAATGAAAAGTTGATGCTTCCTCAAGATACAAAGAGTCGTACGGGAGCTGGATCAATTGCGAGTCGTGAGGCCCAATGCTTATCAAATCTGTCGAATTGCCACCGGATTCAACGGGCTGTGACGTTGCTAGTTGTTGTGCTCTTGCTGCCGATGAACTGCGATGACTACTCAAGTAGGTAAACAGGTTGCATCCAGCAAGGATCACGCACGACTCAAAACGGAGGACCGCGGAGTCAGAACGATCAGAGCTTTGGTAGAAAGTGCAACATCAGGTAACAGGTAAAAGTGTCGTCAAACGGCTTGTTGACGTTGGTGTTTGATTTATGAAAGTTGGTGCTTATAGCAAAGAGGTGTACCTGGACTGTTATTACACGTTTGCGAGTCAAACGACGACAAATTAATTCACGAGCGGCACGTGATCGGTAGGTGTCTAACCAGTCCGGTCCTTGGCCGCTTTGTAATCTTCACTTGGCGATTTCAAATAGACTATTAACCCATTTTGGTTGCAAAGATGTTCCACGCGTCACGGTGAAAGATCCATTGGGCGGTGAAGTGCTACGATGCATTACGACAGTATCAAACGTTGGTTTGGGGCTGTCTCGACGATTTGATGACACGACGCAAGCTGTGCAACTGTTGCCAGCGGATTGTATACAGTTTTTGCAGATGAAAAAGTTGATACACCTTACACTTCCCTCGTCTTCACACGGGCAAAACGTAGTAAAACACGTCACCGGCATCCACGTGTTTCATCAGCATGGCAATGTCCGACGCTCAACCGATAAGTACCACAACAGCGCCAGCAACAGCGTCTTGGTAGTCATTAGTTCATCTTGCATTCGTATAGAGGTAGCTACAGGGAACGACGGAATGGTACGCCTATCGAATCTTCGAACTTGGGAGCCTACGTGCATAATGATTGGTTGATGAACTTCGGACTTCGGGAGGTTTTCCAACCAATAGTATGCCATTCGATAAAAATTTCACCGTTGTAGATTTATATTTTGAGGT